TCACAAGCCAGAGAATCGTCTAATTTCAGACTCTTGGGATTTTAGTCTCTTCAAATGGAATATTCATCGAACAATTAGTTGCGAGGATTTTTTTTTTCTCCAACGGCATCCTAGGGCCGGCCCGATTTTTAGTTTGCATTTGCCCCAGCTTTGGAGGCGCGATAGTGCCCTTTGGTAAGGCATTAATCCTCATTACCAGGTCTCTCGGAGAGGACCTAAAGCCGTCGGTCCTCTGGTTGCCTACTAACACTTCTTCTTCTACTACTACTACTTTAACAAGTGGGGATTTGTAATGCTGAGGGTAATAGTTATTGTAGGTCCCGCATGGAGAGCAATTACTTTAAATGCTGGTGTTACTATAGTATAACCTGTCATTGTGTAACTATAAATAGGCAAACATTATTATTAATAAGCCTTTATAGAACGGATCGAGTTAGTGGGATCATTCCAACATACGCAGAGATTAAACTGAACAGCGCCATCACATTACCATCAGAAGAGATAAAAACATAGGTGTTCTTATGGGTTCTAGGACAATTACCCCCTGGGCAATCACCCCCCGGAAAGTTACCCCCCGGAAAACTACCCCCCAAGGACAATTACCCCCCGGAGAATTACCCCCCGGAGAATTACCCCCCGAGGACAATAACCCCCTAAGGACAATTACCCCCCGGAAAATTACCCCCCGGAGAATTACCCCCCGAGGACAATTACCCCAAGGACAATTACCCCCCGGAAAATTACCCCCCGGAAAATTACCCCCCGAGGACAACTACCCCCGAGGACAATTACCCCCCGAGGACAACTACCCCCGAGGACAATTACCCCCCAAGGACGATTACCCCCCGGAAAACTACCCCTTGAGGAATTACCCCACGAGGACAATTACCCGCCCCCGAGGACAATTCCCCCCCCCCCCCCCGGGGACAATCAGGATTCAATAGCAAAAGACGATCTGACACGTTGAGAGATGTTGTGAAGGCTACGAGCCCATAAAATCCGGTGCATGAACCCACATTCGTTCAAATACTTGCGCGTGATCTTCCTCATTACTTCACATTTTTCTTTAACTATAATGTATGCAACAACACTGTGGTTGCTGTTTTCTACGAAGGATTTCTCTTGTGCAGCGTTATTTCAACTTTTTGTTCGACACGATGCCCTCTTAAGAAATGAAAAGTTTCGCCCAATCTTAAATTCTTCACAAACTATTTATTTTGCATCACTCTGGCACTCGTCAAGTGCTATGTACACACGTATGGGCACATTTGTTTCTTGATTTAGTGAACGAGCAAGAAAAACAAGGACAAGACATTTTCAAAATGGTAAAACATAATGTTGTAATCAACACACTAGCACAGATTTAAGGTATGCGGGCGCCTCATCGCCGAATGTACACGAATATAAAGTGAAATATTCGGTCATGACCTTGATACACTAATATGAGGATATTCGGGCCTCTCGTTGCCTTGATTCATCATGTTTTATAATTGTGATGAGTGTGGTAACAATGTAATGTCGAAATAAAAGATATATATTCGCAAAATATTGTCAGCGAGCGAGGAAGAAAGACATTTTATTATTTGTTTACATTTTATTATCTCATGAAAATAAATACTCTACCCGTTTCTGATATTTGTTTTTCACAAAATCAACGTTTGCCAAAAAAAATTGTCATGTAACTAACATTCTCTTGCGGCACCCCAGTTGAAAAAACGCTGCTCTGGAATTACAAAATCATTGAGATGAATGTACCCAAGTGCGGATACTTATTTTCTTTTAATATGGCACCGTACATACCATATATTTAACTTGAAGGCAATTTTTATTTCAAAATAAATTACAGTACAAGAAAACATATTTTAGTTCACCATGACAACAGAAAGATATATATATATATATATATATATATATATTACATTACATTTATAAACATGAAGAGAACCTTAATTTTGGAATAGATCATTGATGAGGGCCCATTATACATACAAAGACAAATATACGATCAGCTGATTAGAAAAGTTACAGAGGATGCATAAATAATGATATCTTACATCCTAATTTCTTTGTCGGGCCATTTTGGGGGAGACTAGCTGTATTAACGCGTACTCATCTGCGCGCAATGTATTGTTCAATTTCTAAGAAATGTAAATTCCATACTTTGATTTGATACATGCGTCTTATGGCAATTGAATTCGATTTGATACATGCGTCTTCTGGCAATTGAATTTGATTCAATACACGTGGCATATTAAGTCATACTTCACAAAGGTGGAATGGATACAGAGTGAGGGGTGGGTGAAATCTCCTCCTAGGAGGATACATGTACGTCAAGCAAAAAGATTTGGCAGATGGGTACGAGGGCTTTGAATGTGAGCTACGAATATAAATATAATTTATACACAACCCCTGTACGAAACAAATCTATTCCGTCATAAATAACTAAGAAAATGAAAGTTCATGACATTTTCTCTAAATAGCAATTTGAAGAGGAGCTCGCATTATACGTCACAGTGTTACAAATTCCCTGGGTGTGATTGTCCTCGGGCCGCGGTAATGGTGTTTCGAGGGGGGGGGGGGGTAATTGTCCTCGGGTGGTAATTGTCCTCTGGGGTAGTTGTCCTCGGGGGGTAATTGTCCTGGGGGTAGTTGTCCTCGGGGGTAATTGTCCTCGGGGGGTAATTGTCCTCGGGGGTAGTTGTCCTCGGGGGGTAATTCTCCGGGGGGGTAATTTTCCGGGGGGTAATTGTCCTTGGGGGGTAATTGTCCTCGGGGGGTAATTCTCCGGGGGGTAATTTTCCGGGGGGTAATTGTCCTTGGGGGGTAATTGTCCTCGGGGGGTAATTCTCCGGGGGGTAAATTTCCAGGGGGTAATTGTCCTTCGGGGGTAGTTTTCCGGGGGGTAATTTTCCGGGGGGTGATTGCCCAGGGGGTAATTGTCCTGATACGGTTCTTATGACATCGTATACGTGGCCGACTTCATACAAGTACAAACATGAATTCTCTCAGCTAGATATTACTCAACCTCCGATGATCGTAAGTCTGTTTATTTTGATGACTGATCTTTTCCTTCAAAAGTGCCTGACGAAACAAATCAAGGCCTCTAATATTATTGGAAAGAATAAGAAGAAAAACGAGAAGAAAAAGGAAAAGGAAAAAAAAAAGAGGAAAAAAAAGAGGTCATTTTTTCCCCTCTCCATTTAGATCTACAACCGAGGACTTTTTAATTATAATAAAAAAGAAAAGAAAAAGAAGAAGACCCTTACTAGTAAGCCTGAATCCAACAAAAATAAGAAATGGCCTCAATGATTAATTCAGGTGCCAATAAACTATGGAAAGAACTGGGAACATGATAATGGGCACCCGATACCATCCACGGGGGTGCAGGGGCGGATCTAGGGGGGGGGGGGGGTTCGGCGGTTTAAACCACCCCCCTTGGAAGGCCAAGTGAAACGAAAGGGGGGGGGGGGGGAGAAGAAGAAAAAAAAAGTAAAACAGTAAAATTAAGGCGCGATTTTTGGAAAATCCTGGATCCACCACTGGGTCAACCCCCCCCCCTCCTTGGCAAAAAGCTAGATCCGCCCCTGGGGTGGGGTATCATATCAGAACAATTTTGTCAACAGTGGGGCTCCCAAAAAGAACTTCCTCTAAAAGATAATGACTTGCATTTTTCTCCTGAAACTAAATCCATAGATGCTCATTTTTATGTTGCAAATTTACAATTAACAAATTCCTCCAATGAAGATGTAGAAAAGAAGAAGGACCCAGAAGAAAAATATGACCCCCCCCAAACAAAAGAAGAAGAAGAAGAAAAAGGAGAAAGAGAAAGAAAAGAATAAGAAGAGTAAGAAGGAGAAAAAAATGGGAAGAAGAAGAAGTAGAAGAAGAAGAAGAAGTGGAGGAAGAAGAATTAAAAAAGGAGGAGAAGAACAAAAAGGATCGGTAGAGCGAGAAGAAGAAAAAGGAAAATATTAAAAAAAACTTGAAGAAATATCCATTCGACCAGTAAAAAAAGAAACAGGCTATGTGATTATTTAACTGTTATTCTAAAATCAATACGTCTTATTGTTATTTTTTAATTCATTTTTTAGGGGGGGGGGGGGGGGTTATATCAGACGGAAGTTTCAGTAATATTTCCCAATTAATAGTAAACTTATAGGAATAGCGTCCTTAAAGTCAAACCATGCCCCCTTTGAACAAGGAGAGTTATTTTCGCATGTCGATCCCTGGTGCCCTGAAAACGGGGGGGGGGGGGGGGGGGCGCAGGTTCAGGGCCTAAAGTCCGCCGAATGTTACGACTTTTTAGGCCTGCTTCCTCTCTGTATTCTGAATTAGGTCTATTTGAGGGTCCTCTCAAGACGAACTTTTAGTTCGTAAACCTGGCATGCCCATGCCATAGATCAGTAGCCAAAGAGATTCGATCATACACAGTATGTCCTCCGTAGCCTAAACCATGAACCTAATACATTCTCAAATCCGATTTGAAATTTTCGACAAATTGCTCCTGGCCGTTTTAGACTAGTTCACCTAGTTTCCCCCTGAAATTAGTCTAGAGTCGCAGACTATTTATAGTGCACATAGCATTTCAAATATGAAGTGGTCAAGTTGTATTACTTTTTAATAGTAATGAAAGGTACATAAATGATAATTTTCATATCTTCTCTTATTGAAGCCCGTAATGGTCAAAATTCTTTTTGCAAAAAGAATTTTGATACTCGTTTGTGGAGTGTGCGAATTAAACATAGTCTTCGGCGCAGACTAGCGTTTTGAGTTGTCTGCGCTGCATGCATGTAATGTGAATATATGCAATGGGAAAAATGCACGTTGCAGGTCAACCTTGTGTGGGAAAGCGTGTTTGAACATGTCCAGCTCTGACTCGACAAGGGGGAAAAGTGCATCGGAAAAGGAGGATAAGGCAGAGGCAAGTGGCTGCATGCCTGTTTGCCTAGGATGCTGTTCAGCTGCAATTCAAGATAAGGTAAAGGTAAATGCTGCTCCATCAAATTTATTTCAATCAGCGAGTGAGAAGCGAATGGGTGCAGATATATTCACATTTTCTCGGGCACCAGCTGGAAAGGGTGTATTAAGAGAGGTCTGCATCGGGGAACTTCCGGGTGGATTGACGGTGGAGGACGGTGTGAAGTTGTTCGTCGGTTCGATCTTTTTGGAAAGAAATACGTGATTAAACATTAATGTCTGAGTTTATCAGTGAATTTTCGAATATCTAATGGGAAGGATGCTGGTCGAACAGATGGTGGTAAATGCTTATTTCTTTTTAAAATCATTTTCTCAAGACTGCCTGCCCCATCTTCAGAATTTCATTCAATCATTGATCATTCATTTCATCAATCATCTATTTTAGACTCTAGATCTACTCTCTAGACCTAGATCTAGGCCTAGAGGTCTAGGCCTAGATCTAGAGCTAAATAAATTAATATTTGTGAGAATTAATTCTGTCATTGTGCTGAAATCTAAAGCTACAATGGGGTCTAGTCTAGACCTCTAGAGGTAAACCAGGGAAATCTCCCCTGATTTAATAAAGACAAAGTTATTGAAAATGATTGATCTTTGATGTTTTCTTTGCTTTTTTGCCATTTTGACATCCTGATCATGATTAGCAGTAGGGGCGCTGGTCCGAGAATGAGGATCGTTCGCTTAAACGAGGATCGTCTTCGCAAACGTGTACGGACGGCCCTAATTAATGAGGATCATCTGCGAAAAAATTTCACGTTGGCAATGCGAAAAATGGATTCCGCAATGATTTTCTTCAACATTTTACATTGACTTTGTACCAAGACTTTCACGTTATGACTCTGAGCGTTAATTCCTTGGGAAGATGGACAACCCATGAAACTAGTCAGTGAAATGGGGTTATTTTCGTACATGGAGCACCGATGAAAAAAACGTCTACAAAAAAAGACAATCCTAATTTTTGAGGATGCAATTTGTCAGCGTTTACGAGGATATCCTCGTTTATTATTACGATCCTCATTCTCGGACCAGCGCCCCTACTGATCAGATTTCTATTGGAGCTGTTGCGAAAGTGCATTAGCGCCATGTTTTGTAGTGTATAATTTCTTTGACTTCTAGAGACAAAAACTCAGACAATTAACTGTCTTAATGTTACATGTAATAGACACTGACCCTCAGGCCAGGGCAGGGCCATTTTCATGATTTCCGTATTCTGACCGTCAGTCAGCTTTACCTTTAAAATATTTTTTCGTTCCGTACAATTTATGTTAGTAGACCTACTGGTACATGTAGCTCCAAGGTGTATTTCAAAATATTTGAAATAACTTTGAACATTAATTCTGTAAAGAGAATAATATTGCCAGTTTAAAATACACTCTTGTTCAACACAAAAGCGACTTTTGAGTACTGAATATGATAGACTTTTCAACATAAAATTTGTACCCTTATACTTGCTCCCATAAAATACGGCTCAAATGGAACCCAAGTCTGCCATGGTTCCTGTGTGAGCAGTATTATTATATGATGCCAATTTTGACTTGAGAGTCAAGAGTCAACAATAAATAACTTCAGAGTCTAGGTCTTGACTAAAAAACTTTTTTTTAAATCGTAAAAATAAAACCCAAATATATATTCACACACCCCTGGAGGAAAGCATTGACCGCGACCATTGGCATCATAACGGCGTCACAAAGATAATACTTCGTAGAGACGTAGAATCAAGTATTTTTTTCTCTCTGAATATATAGATGCCCAAGTCGCGGAAGCGAAAGCGAAGCAGAGGGCGCCACCATTCGTCCAGTTCGCAGAGCTCTTCTGAAAGGCTTGGTCTGGGCGGCCGAAGGAGGTTCATTGCCATAGCACGCAATGCGCCATCATCGGCACAAGAAATGGCAACTGTCCTCGCTAGTGAGTTGAGGCCGGAGCACAAGCTGCCCAAGAAAGAGATATGGGTAAGTTGATTCTGAAGTTATTCAAGAGTTTTGGATGCTCTGATGTTCGAATCCCGACATGGCACTAATATCCTTTGGCAAGATATTAACCTACACTTGCTACCCTCCACCCAGGTGTTAAATGAGAAAACATATTTTGTCCTTTGGCTTACCCAATCTTTTTGCAAGGATCCCGCGTTTCCATCCATTATCTTACCCTTCACTATTTATTTTAAGCATTTGCACACCATAAACAAAATGATATGAAACATTATTGCACAGTCCTCACAATTCTTTGGGCATGAGATATTATTTTGAAATTGCACGGTTATCCTGGTACTTTTTGAGAAAGCAAAAGACGTTCTGATATATAATGATACTTCGTTTTTATATAGCGCTTTTCAGGACTGCAGGCCCTCTCAAAGCGCTTTTCAGATTATGTTATTACCCCAGTCATTACCCGCACACAATGTATGCACATTCTCCACTCCCTGGGGAGCATTCCAGCCAGGCGTCATTTTTACAAGCACACATTTGCTCATCTAACCACATTAACTTTCACATCCTACCGGGTACCCATGGAGAATGGCAAATGTAGATCAATGTCTTGCCAAAGGACATTAGTGATGTGGTGGGACTTGAACCGACTTAAATTCCAGATTTAGATTACTGTTAAACTGCCCTTATGTACTTTTGCTATTAGAATGTAAAATGGAGGGTACATTTGTAAATCAATGGATGGTCCTAAAAAGACTCCCCCAAAAATGGAGATTAGACTAGAGAGGGGTTTGCCACTGTGAATGATATGTATTCTTCCTTTGTTACACAGGGTTTGCTTGTTATGTTATCCCTATCCCATCCACCCACAACAAAGCATCAGTGTCTGGGTCTTGCAATTTGCATTACTCAGAAACGGGGGAATCCCCATCTAGGTACTGCACATGGTCACATATTTTTGAGGGAAAATAAGCTAACACACAAGACAGACAGATACATGTAGATAGTAATAATAACAAAACGAAATAAAAAAAATCAACTCACTCTTCAGTTCTATCGTTGTTAAATGACAAGTTTAAGGTTTTTTGTGACCTTTTATCCCATCGGTTTATCAAAGATTTCGAGCTCAACCCATGAATGATCACAAAGATTATGTGAAGATGATGCATGTACATTTTTGCTTGTCGTTTCAGAGCAATTAATCAAAGATATACTTTTGAAGCTAATTTACATCATGTACATGTACTGTATGTTCACTATTCCATTTTACTTTGGTTTTGTTTTGACATATCTGAGCTTGTATGGGACATAGAATAATGAGGTTAATGACGTACTTGTACTATATTTTGGATGCAATCATGCAAGTACATTTTATTTGTTTACTTACACCTGTATATAATACAATTATAGTGTACAGTATTCATTTAGTCATTATTTATTTGTATGTATTTATTTGTTTATTATTATTTTGTAGGGGGAGGGGCAGTGCTAATACATTTGTAGGTCCCTCTATTTAACAAATTCTGCATAATATGTCTTATTGATTACAAGCTCATCTCATTCTATATCAACCTCTGCTATTCTCTTTTCTGAAAGTGATATTAATATGAGAAACAAGAAGGTTAAGTAATGGAATACCATATTTCAGAGAGAGAGAGAGAGAGAGAGGGAGAGAGAGAGGGAGAGAGAGAGAGGGAGGGAGAGAGAGAGAGAGAGAGACAGAGAATGATAGAAAGATGAGAAGCAAGTACAGACTTGTCACTTGTGAATTCCTATGTTTTCGAGGCTTTAAATTTAGGCTGTCTGGCATAATAGTCTCAATCCCAAACCCTTGTCCTAATTAAAAATAAAAGAACCCTCTCATCTAACTTATAAATCCCTTCATCATGATTTGAAATAATTGTCAATGGGGATTAAAGGTTTAGTGTGAAATCATTACATCCTGGGAGTCAAAATGTTTTAATGTCAGCTATTTGTAAACAAGCGTACATGTATGAATGGCTTAGCTTATGAGATGTGCCTCCATACATGTTCATTAACTCTTATTAAGCTTTTCATGCTAGTCTTCACATTTTAAAATCATTTCAATTATTTTGCACCATGTCAGGGCTTATTTAACCAGAGTAAAACAGTGAGAGAAAATAGTGGAGTAGCCTGTTATTCACCTACATTGTTAAATGGCATTAACAACATTTCCACTGCAATTATATTCTTAACCCAAGTCAAATGGATTCCTAGTTTATTGTCTAGCTTTGTTTAACTTTAAAGAAGAGCAGTTCCATTTTGTGTGATACAATTTGATATTAGTTCTGTACATACAAATTGTTTGGGTCAGATTTTTAGCACAATTTTTGTAATTCACGTTGTTTATAAATAAAAACAAGGTAAAATTGCTAGGTCATAGATGACTTTTGTTACCCCATTTTCTAGATCTACATGTATGTAAAAAATCAAAAGATAGTTACACATATTTATTTTATTTCAAAACAATATCAAATGCGAGCTGAAAAAAGGAAGAAGAAGGAGATGAAACTAGAAATGCAATCGTGTCGCAACGATGTGCGTGCAATGACGCCATGTTTCTACGTGTCAAAGGAAAGAGCTTCTCTCGGACTATCCAGAGCAATTTGTACGAAGTCTGTAGCTTCTGTAATATTGGAGATAGGTAGGGCGAAAGAAAGGCCTCAACAGTGACCTTGATGGGATGGTAGTGACTATGCCTACGAAGTTTGAAAGAAATTGGGATAGGGGAAAGAACCTAGAAAGGGCTTGCAAGCACTGCGTGCAAAAACCAATGGGATTTGGTGCATGTTCGTCATTGCAGTCAAGATCGTTCTGGGGGCCAAAAGCGTGAACCCGATATGCCCCATAGACAATTCGTGTAATGTATGGGCGGAAAACGTACAGGATCTGTATTATGACCGGAGTTAAATTGTTTTTTCTCTCTCTCTTTATGTCTCTTTATGGGCCGTATTTGGTATCATTAGAAAGAGGATTTCATGGTAGTTATTGTAAACAACTCTCTTTTTTTCTATGATAATCCTATCGAAACACGTGATATAAAATATATTTATAGGACAAAATGGCGTCTTAAATGGCCCCCTTGACCAATTTCAAAAATCCGGCCAAGAGGTGCCCTGCGTATTGCAAATCGGCATGTCACTGCAAATTTTCAAGGAAAAAAAAGGACGTTTAAGGGGCGAAAAGCAGTCTGAAAAAATGACGTCATAGCCGATACATGTTAGATTCGGGCGGAAACTCGGCGGAATTCGTGTAGTGACCTTTGTTCAAATGCGATTTACTCACAATTTTCAGTGTGAACATATACTATACTTGGTATCATTCGAAAGGGCACTTCATTGCGGTCAGTTTGACACCATTATTATCTGCGCGCAATGTATTGCACGCATTAAACGCGCTATTACGTAATGCATAGTAAATTCATCATTTTTGGCGATTACTTTGCGCTGACATATTCGAATTTTACCAAACTTGGCGGACAGTTGTCACGTATATGGATACATATGTCTGCCAAGTTTCATTGATGTAGATATAAAGATCGCTAATTTAGAGCAATTTGAAGTTATTTCTCAATTTTCTTGAAAATGGCGAATCTGGAGGGCATTTTTCGCAAAGTCGGTCAGTGTTAGGGTATATAATTTTGTATATGGCTGGAAAGGGCATATCTTCTAGTATCTAAATCCAAAAAAGGGTACGGGTTTGCCAAGCCATTATGGAGATACGGCCACAGAGAGAAAGCCAATTCCCAGAACTTTAGAGGGCGCTATTTATGTTGTGCAAAGCCATTGGAGCGTGAAATTTGGCATGGCTATGTGCAATTATGAGATAAAGATACTGTAAGATTTAAATACAAAACGGAATTTATATGAGAAAGTTATGGCAGTTTTAGATTATTTAGGGGTCCATTTTTCAAGAACTTGAGAGATTTTTGACGGAGTCGGTTTTAGATTTGAATTTCGAGTATGAAGATGGCATTTTGAAGGTCAAGTCATATGTCGCAGATGAAAGAACATCTCTCAGACTATCTAGAGGAATTTGTTAGAAGTTTGTAGGATCTAGGATAGTGGAGATAGGAAGGAAGATATAAAGGCCTTAAAATGGACCAGAAACGGACAAAATGGCGCTTGGACGGTCATGCATGAGTGATTTCCAAAATCGAAGAATGTAGTGACCTTGATGAGATGTTAGAGACCATGCCTATGAAATTTGAAAGGAAAAGGACATGAGAAAAGCACCTAACTAGGAGTCACAAACACTACGTGCTAAACGAATGCGATTTCCTGACGATAAGGATAAGGATAAGGAAAAGGAAAAGGAAAAGGAGAATATTAATGGGGCAGAATGTGAACGAAAACAAGGCAATGACGAAGGTCGTCATTGCAATAAATGGGTCTTAATTTTTGCCTCACCTGAATCAAGTCCAAGTTGTTTTAAAGTACCGGTAAAGCTAATTTTTCTAGAACATCAAAACTCAGTTTTGGGTACACGTATAATGTTTGTGCTATTCTGTTGAGATATCATTTTGCAATTTGCAAATCTTGAAGAACATCCATGTAATTTGGTATATGACTGAGTCATTCAAAGATATCTCGAATGCCCTTTACAAAAGTGCAATATTATGACTCATCGACCATTGCCAGAGATGCTCATTCTCTACTTTCATTTCCCTCAGCTTCTTATTTATTTTTTTCCCCTTTCCTTTCAGTTTCAAAAGAAGAGAAATAAAACTCAGATATATTTGAATGAAATAGGGATGGAAACCTAAACTTAATATGCCTACTGTGATGGGAAAAAATTGGGGGGTTACTTTTCAAGCTTGCTTGCATGAAAATAACACTCTTTAATTTGTTTTGCATTGAACTCTATGCAAATTTTTTGGGGGCTCTTGTATGACTTTTGGGGGCTCTTTTGGCATTTGGGGGGCTTTTTTTTCTCACTATTTTGTAAAAACTAACAAAATGAGTCAGAAATGGAAATGAAAATTCTCAGTGTTTGCCAGGCAACTGGACCTGGTAATCTGGCGCTATGCACGTCTATAAATTTTAGAATTATTTGGCATACTTTTACATTTTGGTATCCATAATCTTCGGACTAGTACTTACTATCAATGAAAAGTGAAAACACAGTTACATCTTTAAGTGTAGGTGTACATGCAGGGAACAATTCTCTATTGCCACTTTTTTTTTGCCAGGTTGCTCTGTGAGAAGTTGAGACGAAAAGAGTTCTGGGGGGGCGTTTCACAAAACTTGTCATCAGTGACAAATGACAGTTTTTGTTATAAGCTACTGAATTCCTTGCTTCTGATTGGTTATCAACAGATTTGTCACTGATTTTTGTCATTTGTCATTGGAAAAATGCTTTGTGAAATGCTTCCCTGGTCAAAACAAAGAGTTACAGCTTCATATCTTACTTTGCAACTAACAAAGAAGAATGAAAACCAAATGTCTGGAAACCAGACTACAATTCATACCATATGTACTGGAAGTGGAAGGAAAAGTCAGGTGACAGTGTCAGGTGATCTAGATTGTAGAGAGCACTCAACAAGCAGAGACTTGCTAGCTAGAGCTCTCATTACCGAGATCATCAGCTTATTAAAATGCTGGGCATGTGTGCATCTAGTCTTTAATTTTGTACATGTACGATGGTGAAACAAAGCTTGTTTTTATTATATGGACAGCTGTTGGCCTACATGTACATGTGCAGTCATTTGTATTGTCTTGTTTTGTTATCAATTTTAAAGATACACTGTACATGTAGAATAGACTTAGAGGCTGTTCACACCGGCAGAGATAGCGCGCGCTAGACCGCGCTATCTCTGCAGTTTGGGAGGTACAATGTCGTTTCGGTCCGCCCAACAGCGAGCCATGGCGAGCCAAAACGGCGTGCCTCTGGAGCACCTCTTGGGGGTGGTCCACAAGAGATAGCGCGGTCTAGCGCGCGCTAGAAAAAAGGGGGTGCTATGAAAGACCGCGCTATCTCATTGCGGTGTGAACAGCCTCTTTGTTTGGCTGATGTTGAGGTCATGAACTATGGTAAGGCCTTTTAAAATAATTTCTAGATTCCTTTTCCCCATCCACTTATTTAATAAATTTAGTTCTGACAGAATACATGTAGTATTAATGTCCATCTCAATAGGGAACTTTGTTATGGTGCAATTGCTTTTAAAACACTGAAAAACTATACATGTACAGGTGTAAATGTATGTCAGAAATTTAGGTAAAATATGAGATAGCACGGAATCCAGGTTTCTTGTCATTCTTAACCCCACCCCACCCCCACAAAAAAGAAAACTAGGAATCATATCCTATCATGTACTTTCATCATGTGAAAAAGGACATTCAAAATTCATATCTATTATATCTATTTATCATATCCGTCATATCTATTTATCAGACAATTAATTCTCTAATGCTGAATTCAACAAGAGTGGATATTTTAGAGGCATTCTGTAGGCCTACATGTACATTTGAAAGCATCCCAAGTTCCAAGTTATACATGAACATACATGTACTGTACACATGTACATGTACCTGGAATAAGTAATTAAAACTTCATATGCTATTTTTCTTCTTCAAAACAGCTGTCCCTGAATACTTGCCTAGAAAATGGAAATGCATGAAAATGTGTTTGTATTGTGCCGTATATGTTTGATAACAAGGCACATGAACACACACTTAACTTGATAACGATGATATATATTGATATGTAAATATCTCCTTGTCAATATGGAGAGGCCCTATCAACAAGCTCACAAATTCTCAGCAAGTAAAAACTTGTCTAATTTAAAACTGAACAAGCCTACTTTTTGCGTTTATGATGAAATGTAGTGTTACGAAACTAGTGTAATGATCCAGACCCCTTGTTATCAAAAGTGACCACAGGCCTGGACTTGTCAGAGTTATGAAACTGATTCTTGAATGACGTTTTATCCATATTGACCACATTTTTGTGGTCACCATTTTCTAGGTAAAACCACATGATTTGTTCTAAGCTGTCAATTTGAAGCTACTCGTTGATATTCAATAGGTATTGTTGGCTTCACATGACAACAATAGATGTGTGGTGTCAACAAGTTTGGCATCTTGTGTTTACTTACAGAGGCCCGTGCAAGATCAGGCAAGTCTTAATTTCTTGCCCAATTGCCTGTCGGGTGACTTTTATTATTTGTATTGTCCATTATTGTTCAGTTCTTTGTATTTGACTTTATATCCCAGTAAACTGTAATATTATGAAATGGTATGAGCAAGATAAATGCTTAGTGCTACGTGTCTGATCAGTTTAGGTCCCATTTGATCAATATCAATGAAGTTTTCTAAAGTGGTAAAAAATGTTCAGCTAAAATACAGTACATATATATTAGCCCCTCATCCCAATTTCTCATTCTATTTTCCTGAAAATACTCAATAGTGAAGTACCAGTACATGTAAGGTGACATGTTACCATGGTAACCACCCTTCCCCATCCCATCCACCATCCTCTACATGCTCCCCTCCTCAGTATTCCAAGTAGTCCCTCAAATTAAATTTTGATGAAATTTGAATAAGTGCCCGCATATGGAGAGAGAGAGAGAGAGAGAGAGAGAGAGAGAGACTTTTAGGGTTGGTTGAAAAGTCAAAGGCAACAAAATAGCCTTCATATACACTGTACAGTATACATGTATGTAAATGTACATGCATACATGCAGGTCTACAAGTCTTCTGTAATATTTTAGCTCAGTTTCTGACAGTAGAAATGTACATGTAGTAGAATATGATTACATTATCATGTTTAAACATGGACATTCTTTCACAAACTTTTGATAAAAGAGGGTTTTGTCCTAATCTGTCTTCAAGGTTCGCCAGTCCTGCATGTCTGTGCAAGCATGGACCTACTAGGTACATGTACCTTATGTGGTGCAAGCCACTGATTACAATGCAATCATTCATGCTATTTCATGTTTTTCAGCATTCTCTGACAATGTATTATACTAGTCTCTGAATACAGACTGTTTGAGGTCTAGCATGAATTGGAGAGTGGTTGAATTGTACCGGTACTCTAAATTTTCAATAAAGTAGAGATAGGACTGATTACTTTCAAAAATAAAAAAAATAAAAAATATTTGGACACTGACGGAATAATCACACCATCACACCAAAGTACTTTTGAAAATAGCAAAATGACATCAAATTGAAAAGTGATACATGTACATGTACATGTAGGCCTATTTAAAAAAAAAAATTCTGTCAGAAAACTGGTGGATATCACCATTAAAAAAAACAAACTTGTTTTTAGTACTGTACCTTACGTACACCGTAACAGTAAAAGTTTTTAATTATTTTGGTAAAGCTTCTTTGTGCCTTTAGGACCATTCCGAGGAATGAATTGTTATGTTGTAGTTTGTGACCTTTATTTGTACTGTGTGTTGCAGTTTAATTTTGTCTGCTTTTTCTCTGGTTGAAACAATGCAGAGAGACATGGATAGGGATTAAATGTAACATAATTCATACACACTGTACATGTATGCTCCCAGTCTAGCCAAGTCAGTTAAGAGTTAGTCTGCATTCACAGACTCTATTTTAACACTGAGGCATTTGAACCTGCATTAACTTTATTAGTCTTTAGCTGTGTCATGAAGCCGCTACAGTACATCAGCTATGGGGGCAACCATTCTAGTCTAATACTGTCCAGACCCTCTATTATGTGTAATGACAAAACAAGTTTGTGCCTGCTATACTAGATAAGAGTTGCTTCATGGCATAGATATTAATTTGTTTCCTCAACCACTGGACATGTTTCTGCTTGCCTGGCGCATGGTTCAATTATTGTTCGTCTGCTGTGACGACTTTTTTTGAAGTCTGTGCAGTATGAACAATAGGTTGTCCCGCCCCTCTCATGTGAGCGGGCATTCATCTGCATTGTGTACGTAGTGGTTTTGTAATTTGTATAAATAGAGTACCATGAAAAATATTGCATACACATGTAAACACTCCCCCTTTTTTTAGAAAGAGAGAGAGAGAGAGAGAGAGAGAGTGTGAGAAAAGAGAATGGGAGAGAGAGAGAGAGAGAGAGTAAAAAGTAATTACAATTAATGTATTTGAGGAAGTATTTTTAAATTATGTTGTGGCTAGATTATTGATGATATTAAAACATGTTTTATGGGCCTAATTATGTTCCTGTAGTGAGATTATGGGTAAAGATGTATTATGCATTGATTTCATACAGGTTACCCCCAGGCCACAGTTCCTCAAGTTACTACGATCAGTTGGAGCTAACGGCAACACATTCACAGCCAAAGAAGTAAGTTTGAATTTGAGTTTGAGCTCACCCTCTCCTGCCCCCTCCCTGCCCCTCTTCCTGTTCTCTATCCACCTTCCTTCTACTCCTTTCCCTCTCCCTCTCCTTCTTCCCCCTCCCCTCATCTATTTGCCTCCTCCCCTTTACTCTTCCTTCCTTCCTTACTGTAAGTACCCCTTTCCCTCTCCCATTCTCTATCCATCTTCCCTCTATTCCTTTCCCTCTCCTTCTTCTCTTTCCTCTTACCTAATTCCCTCTTCCCCTTCCTCTCCTACCGACCCCTCCCTTTCCCCAGGCCAACTCTTACATCTCCTTCCCTCTTATCCTTCCTCCCCTTTCTTCTCCCATTCCCCCTCACCTCCCCTTCCCCTCACCCCCTCCCCTCCCCTCCCCTCCCCCTTTCCCCTCTCCCCCTCTCCCCCTCTCCGCTCTCCTTCCGCTCTCCTTCCGCTCTCCTTCCCCTCCACTTCCTCTCCCCTTCCTCTCCCTCTCCCCTCTCCCCTATCCCTCTCTTTCCTCTCCCCTTCCTCTCCCCTTCCTCTCCCTCTCCCCTCTCCCCCTATCCCTCTCCTTCCCCTCCCCTCCCCTCCCCTCTCCCCTCTCCCCTATCACTCTCCTTCCCCTCTCCTTCCCCTCCCCTTCCTATCACCCATTTCTGTTCCCCTTCCCCAGCCCCTCTCCCCTTGTAGAATGGCATGAAGGAGGAGGGGTAAAAGATTTATGTGGATGGTACTTGAAAGCGAAGGAGTATATAAGATGGATGCAAATTGTCTAGAGGATATTGATTTGAGACAGAAAAGAAAATCTGCTTCGTACTATAAAATATTGAGTTACAACATTGAATAGAAACTACAAGTAGGATCAAATATGAATAATTAGAAAAACATACATCGTGCAATCGTGCATGTTGACAAAAGAACCTTGTCAAACAAGATTATGAAGATGTACAGTACCCTGGATTCAAAGAGCGCATCATATATCTCATTGCATTTACAATTTATCCTTGCCTGAAAACTTATCTTTGTACCAGTCCATCATGTAAGGGTATGGTCCTACATGTACATGTATCTTCTCATGTCATGTACATAATGAACAGCTAGCCATTTGAATGTTGGGGGGGGGGGGGGGTGTCTGTTGTTGAAATTTGTCCTCAGAAGTATAACAATGTCATCAAATTTGTCAAAATTTGACAACCATGAAAGAAAATAGGATTTACAGACAGTCTATGAAAAAAAGTCAAATTTAGGGATAGTATATTAAATATTTTTCATTGGGGGGGGGGGGGGGGAATGGTGTCTGTTGTTGAAATTTGTCCAAGAAAGTATTTGATCATCAGATTTTTAAAATTTAATGATCAGGAAAGAACATGAGATTTGCAGACAGTCTATGAAAAAAAGTCAAATTTAGGGATAGTACATGTATATGAAATATTTTTCATGGGGGGGGGGGGGGGGGGGAGGGAATGTCTATTGTTGAAATTTGTCCTCTGAAGTATAACAAGATCATCAGATTTTTAAAATTTGACAACCAGGAAAAAAAATGGGATTTGCAGACAGGCCCTGAAAAATATCACATTGTCAAACTTACGATTGGTATATTAAATATTTTTCATTGGGGGGGGGGGGGGGGTGATGTTATACCCCTAACACCCCATCTAGCGACACCCCTGACGAGGAATCCACCTGTCGACGAGGTCTTGTAAAACACTTATCTCTATGTACATTGCTAATGATGAATATCGTTAAGAAATACATCCTGGTTCCGACATCCGGGTTTGGAGTATTGATTGCTATTATGTCGAGGGTTCGTTGATTAATTATTTCCACCGTATATTTATAGCTGAACAGGTTCATATACACTGCGTTGGGTTTTCCTTGTCATGTAAATATATTGTGATCTCATTTTGTAACATAGAATTATGATAACAACCTCATTCCCATTTGTATAGGGTATACAGGTATGAATTTAATAGCTCATAGCTATAAATAAAGGATGTTAGTTTACACCCTCTCAAATGATATTAAAAAAAAACATAATATTGCTGACAGAATACCAATTACAATATCTAAATTTAAATGAAATTCGAAGTGGTAAATGATGAAATGTTTTTGGTAAATGATAAAGAGGTTACGAGAGTAAGTCATCGCTATATTCTGTTGCTCTCTACTGCAAAAGACTTTATCTCTTGCTTACGTGGAACTTTCACAAATTCAGTAACAATCCAAGGAAAATATGCTGAGAAATTTTCTGGTTTTATTAGGCCCATTTTACACAGCTCCCAAAACATTTTGAAAAACATCACTTTTTACTGCCCTTGAAACGGCTGGAAGCCCATAAGAAAACATTGATTTTTGGTGAGTTGTGCGCATGCGCAACTTGTCGCTGCCCTGCATGAGTTAGCAGCAGACCTGCCAACCAGTACGATTTAGTCGTATTTAGTACGATTTTTAGAAGCAAATACGACAGTACGATTTTCCTTAATAAAATATGATTTTCAACAAAAAAAAAAAAAAAAAAAAAAAAAAAAAAAAAAAAAAAAAATTAATTTAATTTTGTTATTTTTTTAATTAATATTTTGTGTGTGCGTCCGCCATTTTCAATGGCAAAATGTCCATTCTGTCCTGTACAGTATCCTACAAGCATCCCACATCAGCAATTTGGGGATGTTTATTGGTTCATCGAACACACCAGTCGTGACGAAATAATGCATATTCAACCAATGATCAATAAAAAAAATTCTTCCTGTAGGTAGAAACTTTAAAAGGCATTGATCCGCGTAACAATCCGTGTTTATTTTCAAGAATACAACTTTTGTCCGTAAAATACAACTTTTGACACTAAAGAATACAGTTTTTGAACTCCAGAGGTTGGCAGGTCTGTAGCAGGGAAGCAAGGAGTCGCGTGATCAAAAACCAGAAAAATTTCAGCGTGATCATTTGCAAGTTGCAAAACCTGGTGTAGTTGTCAATGCTTGTCTCCCCTTGCGTCCTCCAATCTTATCCCCAGGTTCTATTTTACCTGCCAACTCTTTGTATGAGTTATAAATGTATCTATTGTCTTTTTACCAGAACTATTTGGAAGCTTCCAAGCTTGAAATTGCTGACTCCTTTTATTTCCTTGTCATTGGTCCAGGTACTCTCTTATCTGATCAAATACATCAGCTCAAGGCAGCTATATGATCCCAACGATCCCAAGAATGTATTCTGCCACTCAGACCCCTTAGGTCAAGTCTTCAATGTCCATTCATTCACAATCAAAGATGCCAAGTAAGTGGATAGTATGCAGGAAGGGTGTTTCACAGAGCCTTTTTTCAATGACAAATGACAAAAATCAGTGACAAATCTGCTGATAACCATTCAGAAGCATGGATTTCACTAGCTTATAACAAAAACTGTCATTTGTCACTGATGACAAGTTTTGTGAAAAACCCTCCAGGTCATGATTAAAGGTAAAGTAGTGTTTGGGTCACAGGTCAAAGGTTAAATATTAAAAGACGTGAAATAGATCTTCCTTTCTATGAAAGTATGTGTAGGTCGAGAGTGAAGTTTTCATATTTATTTCTGGTGGACTTATTTGCTAAAGATATATTTATCTAAATGTTTTATGTATCAAAATATCACTACAATGTTTATTCTGATATTATTAAAAGAAAAGAAAGAATAAGAAGGAGAAGAAGAAGAAGAAGAAGAAAAAGAAAAGAAAACAAATCCTTTGTGAAGTGTGGGTGGGAATGATGTGGGGATATATTTTAATTCAAAATATATTTTTTCTCTCACACATTGCATCGAATTATCCATTTAAATTGCTGGTACATGTGTCATGTAAGTGCTTTTAGCCATACCCCAGACATTCTGAAAGTATTGAAGAAAAATAATAATAACTAGAAATTTAATTCGTCATGGGGACGAATTAGGTGGTCTGTCTTCAATTCTTATGATCATGCTCATCTTCAATTCAATTACCCCATGAAATAATGTTGATGTAAAATGATGTATTAAGATATAAATTGATGAATGAAGTACTGATGAACTGATGAACTGATAAATTGAACTGATGTAAAATGAACTGAATTGATGAGCTAAACGAATGAACTGATGAACTGAACTAAACTGATGATCGAAATATTGAGAAATTATCATGATGATGCATAATTAAGTAATATTGACTGCCTTCTGGGCAATACGACGTATATCGCCCGAACCGAAGGTGAAGATGATATATGGCAAGTCGTATTGCCCTGAATTAGGCAGTAAATCATGGGTGTCGATCCCGGGGGGGATGGGGGGGATATATCCCCCCCAATATTTCAGGTGGGGGGGATGGCCTGTACAATCATCCCCCCCAATAATTCGCCATCAATAAAAAAAAAAAATGAAGAGAAAAATTAAGGATGAGAGCCCGATGAGAGTAGTTAATGGTTATTACTCGCAAGATGACCACCGATATACACATTTTACATAATAATGGCGTCATTTCCATAATACATACATATATACGAAGTAAATAATACAACCGTATGTGAGACAATAATAAATAGAATTCTCGCTCATACGGCTTCATCAGGAATTGATGAATTTATTCAATTTGTTCAATCAACAGCATCATAGAAATGCAGTGCGCCAAATGCAAAGACGCAACGTCAAAAAGCAACGAGCTAAATGTTAAGCGCGAAGCGCAAAAATTGCAATCTGCAATGCACATCAGACAATCCTGGACAGTGTAAACATAGATGAACTCTGTGACGATTTCGTGATGAGATCGGAGACAAGGAGAAAGATTTTCGGACATTAGTATGACTTATAAAATAGTTCTCTAGTTGTTATGTTGTTTTCGTTCACCCTTTTTAAAATTCACGTCATTGTATCTTTATTTTTGTTTTTTTCACTCATTTTATTTCCTGATATTTCCTAAAAGATTTTTCATTTTTAAAGAAAAATTATTATGTCACAAATTATTTGTAACACAAATTATTTTCAGTGGGGAAACTGAATTCAGACAAGGATTCATATAGAGAACAGTACAACGAATTGCTTCTTTCTCTAATAATTCAGTGAAAAGGGCAAAGCAGTTAGGGGGCAACTGAATTCAGACGTGGATTAAGCGTAATAATCAAATGAAACGTCAAAGTACACGATACAACGAAGCGTCTTCTTTTACGAATAATTTAATGAAACGTGAAAGCTTCCGCGCTAAGCGCGGAATGGGCGAAAATGAATACAGACAAGGATTAAGAGTAATGATAAATTGAAACGTTAAAGCTTCCGCGCTTCGTGCGGTAGGGGGGAAACTGAGTTCATGAAGGACACGATACAACAAATCGTCTTCTTTCACTAATGTGAAAGCTTCCGCGCTTCGCGCAGGAATTGGCGAAAATGAATTCAGACAAGGATTAAGAGTCGAGAATGGTACATAGGATCGTCTTCTTTCTTTAATCATCTAATGAAACATCAGAGCTTCCGCGCTACGCGCGGGGAAGGGGGAATTTGATTCAAACATTAAGGATTAAGAGTCGAGAATGGTCCATCGAATCGTCTTCTTTCTTTAATAATCTGATGAAACATCAGAGCTTCCGCGCTACGCGCGGAGGAAGGGGAACTTGATTCAAACAAGTATTAAGAGTCGAGAACCGGTCCAAATTGCAACGAACCGTCTTCTTTCTCTTATAATTTAGTAAAACGTCAAAGGTTCCGCGCTTTGCGCGGTAGGGGAGAAACTGAATTCATGAAGGACACGATGCATCGAATCGTCTTCTTTCTTTAATAATCTGATGTAACGTCAGAGCTTCCGCGCTACGCGCGGGGAAGGGGGAATTTGATTCAAACATTAAGGATTAAGAGTCGAGAATGGTACATCGAATCGTCTTCTGTCTTTAATAATCTAATGAAACGTCAGAGCTTCCACGCTACACGCGGAGGAAGGGGAACTTGATTCAAACAAGGATTAAGAGTCGAGAACGGTCCAACGAATCGTCTTCTTTCTCTAATAATTTAGTGAAACGTCAAAGCTTCCGCGCTTCGCGGGGGGAACTCCCCCTCCCTACACGCAACCCCGTAGGGACCGCGCTTCGCGTGCTCACTACCGCCCCCTAAAATGAAATCCTGGCTACGCGCTTGGGAGGGGTGCAACTTGCCACACGCTTCTACCTCTTGATTGCTTTGATCCATTGCCGAAAATATTTTGGCACCTATCATCCCCCCCAACCACGGATACAAATCGACACCCTTGCAGTAAATATTACTAATATTAACCACATCAGACATCTAGAGCAAACAAGAAACTCTTACTATCCTCTACTATCTTATGAATTATAAATTATAAATTACTATCTTATAAATTATGTAGCCTACACTGCCCAGGATATCCTAGCATTAGAAGTTGCAAAAACATCGTCAAACAAGCACTGTGCATCAAGTGCTTGACGAATTTTCGATACACTGCAAACAGTGTGCCAAGGGTCTGATTGTTACGTCACAATGGAGTTCGTGCATGGTGCGCATGTTGTTATACGCGTAATATACATTGTCATTGTCACCAGCAGCTGGTGCGCGATGTTATTTACAACTGGCTCGATTATTTCTCACGAGTTTGACACGCAAAAAATTGTGGGGTCAACTTGCATCCTAAAGAGCTAAAATGTATTTCGTATAGGCATGTTTTTGCCTATATGCTATGTATTACAAGAGCTCGCACGCACAGACATTTACCTTGAACGGGCGCTCATTTCGTTATTAATGGTCATAAAGAGATAAACATGGTATCAAATTGTTCGGAAAAAAATGGGCAATACTATGATAGACAAAAAAATGGCGATTCTAGGTTGCGTTCGACCATTACGAACAAAAATGTGCGCGCAAATTTATGCGCGCGGAAAGGTGTGCGCACGCAAAATTCTCGAAATGCTTGAAATGGCCTAAAACGTACTCTAATTTGATCAAAAAGTGATTATGAGCATTTTTTATTTTTGCGCGCACCGACGCGCGGACGGACGCGTACGCGCGCGTTTATTGACCTTAAGTTGACCGGACGGATATTGACCATAATCGTTATAAATATGAATGAGAAATGATTTACGGTTATAAAGATATGATCATGAGTTGATTCTCAGAGCACTTCACAAAATGGCGCCTGGATGACGTCACGATATGTTGATGAACTTGAAAATGTTCCTGTCACGTCTTAAGATGATGACCTATGACTGTGTTAAATTTGAAAGGAATTGGACGGTTCAATTTTGAGTAATCGTGCACACAAAAAAGTGGTCACAAATTTATTTTAATTGAATTGTGTTTTTGTACAAATTCAATTAAAATACTAGAAATTGAATTCGTCATGGTGACGAATTAGGTGGTCTGTTTTCAATTTTATGATCATTAAAAAATGTCAACAAAAAAAAAAATGAAAAAAAAAAATTGTTGGAGACGCCCGGACTCGAACCAGGGATCTCGAGGTCCGAAGTCAAGTGCGTTACCGATATACCAAAACATTTCCCTTATTAGCGATTACACGTAAACGGAAAGTGGAATTCTCAAATCCCTCTTTGCAAGTGAGATATGAGCATGATCCCGGCATCTGATCGAAAAATAAAGGGCACACTGGTGATAGCTTATTGTCTCAGCTACAACATATTCAAAGCTCAGCGTAAACAAAGATAAAACGACGGAGATATTGCTCCCGAAAGACGAGAATGTAGAATCCAGTTTTGAGAAAAAGTCATGTCCCTTAGAGAATACACGCAAAATGTGAAAAATTGACATGCCTCCTTTAATCGCAAAAATACGTCATGATGCCTTTGTCAAAATGAAATATCGTTCTGACTGCATTTGTAGAAAATATTCTCAGGTAGAACATATCCAAATTTGAAAGAAAATTGATCAACATTTACAGAGATACAATCAATTTTCCAAAAATCTGCTGACGTCATAATATGAAAATTGAAATTTTGAGTTCGGAGGCCATTATGATGACGTCATGAGTTAATTGAGGGTCAAATGTGACATGAAATCATATCTCCAATTCATATTCTATCAAAATATGAAAAAGAAATTGGGTTCACTTTGCATCCTAAAGCGCTACAATGGATTTTGTATAGGCATGTTTTTGCCCCTGTATGCTATGTATTACAAGAGCTCGCACGCACGGACATTATTTTAAACGGACGCTCATTCCGTTATTACTGGGCAGAAAAAGGTGAACAAGGTATCAAAATGCTTGGAAAAATGTGCCAAATATGATGACAGAGAAAATTTGGCGATTTTATGTTGAAAAATACCAGTACGCGCGAAAACGCGCGCGCATGCTCGTGTGCGCGTTTTTTTTAGAAACGCTTAAAATGGCCTGAAACGTATGCAAAAATAATTTGAGACGATTTGGAGCATTTTCTTTTTTTGCGCGCGCGCGCTGACGGGCGGACGTACGCATGCGCGCGCGTTTTTTGACCTGAAATTGACCGGACGGATATTGACCTTAATCATGATAAATATGAATGACAAATGCCTTTCCGTTATGAAGATATGATCATGAGTAAAAAGTACCAAAAAAAACACAAAATGGCGCCTGGATGACGTCATGAAGACTTGATGACCTTGAAAATGTTGCTGTCACGTCTCATGACAATGACCTATGACCGTGTCAAAATTGAAAGAAATTGACTAAACCGATCTTGAGTTATCCTTTACACAAAAAAGTGGGGAGAAATAAATAAAAATAAAGAATAATAATAATAAAGAAAGAAAATTCTGACGAAAACAATAGGTGATCTGTCATTGACAGACCACCTAATAATTTGTGAATTTAACTAAAGATGTTCTGTAGGTCATTCCTGAAAAATCTTGTTATGAGCTTTTCTGTGAAAGCTGTTGAAAACACATACATGTACATTTAGCTTTTGTAGATGTACATGTACATACTAACCCTTTGTTTTACTATCTTGTCTTCTCTTCGTAGGAGGTTACTCTTTGAGAACATGAAGGTCCTTGACAAACCCCCAGAGCTACCCACCATTCCAAGAATGCAATCCATGCCTGCAACCATGAAAGATTGTTACATCACCTTCCGCAATAACCAAGAGGTAAGATAGAAGTTAATCGTCTGAGAATTGATGACTAGTCTTGTTTAGGAAGACTGTTATGTAATCTTTTGTGTTATCCATGAGCTAAGATTGACATTCTGTGATCCAAGAAAGGATACCCTGTCTTGTACATGTATTACAATGTACTTATTTAGTGAAGACAGTTGTATTATCTTTCGCAATAATGAAGAGGTAAGGTGGATGTTATGCTATCTAATAATTGATGCCCAGTCTTCTTTTTGAAGACTTATATATCGCTTTCGCAATAATCAAGAGGTAAGATAGGCATTTATGATCTGAGAAATGGTAACCAGTAGGGTTTCTACTAGTACATTTATCTTTTGCTGCAAACAGAAGGTAGAGAAGGTAGAGACTGTAGCTGCAGTTGTTCTCTGTTTATGTTTAACAATAATTGAGAGGTAAGATGAATAATTTTGAAGCAAAGAAATAATGACCAAGCAAAGCAAAAAAAAAATGGTGTTGAATTAGAGTTGGATCACACATCGCTCCTGACATGTTCTAAGCCTTGGTCACAAATGCCATTACGAACTGCTACGAACGCCGTACGAAGGATTTTCAGACAATGGAAATTTGGGAAGACAATGGAAAAACGGAGATTCGTTCGAAGTTATCGTTCGTACGAACATTTGTGACTGTAGCATCAGCTTATGTATTACAGTCTTTCATTGTTTGTTATCTTTTAATCTACAGCACGACCATGAAATAGCTCCGGCACCTCCCTACCACCCCCTGCCCCACCTCTACACCCAGCCGACACCTAGATCTGCCTTCCAATCAGGGGTCAAGGTCATGTCATCAGGGGTTGACGTCGCAGACGGGATCGGCAAGGGGGTCTTCGACCACCAGGTGATGGAGACGATGCTGGACACAGTATCAGAGGGAAGGGAAGGTATGGCAGTTGATTGCTTTGTGTCTGATTTTGTATACTTTTTGTTGCTAGATTGTGTTTAAGTGACTGGATTTAGCTCATGCTGCAATGATAATTATAAACCTTCAGGTCAGTCAGGAATTCCTTGACTTTTACAAGCCGACCGCCTGTCTGATTATCAATATATTTACGATTGGGAATCAAAATTTCATTTTTTGCTTTCCTAACGGTTTTGATAACACTACAGTCTATTGGGGAAAACGAGTATGGTAAAACCGGTTACTCAAAGATTTTTTTTTTGAGGCACTTCTAGATAGCAGGAAGTGCACTTTACAGTCAAACCAGAAACTTGTGTGAATTCCAAGAGTAGTCTAGATTCATAAAAATGTCATGCCGCTGATTGATTGTATTACAACTCTGTATTCTCTAAGGGTTTAAGGTCTCAGTATTTAATACTTGTTGCTACTAAGACTAAAAGTGAGTGATAATAAGCTTGTTCTTATATAGCGCTTTTCAGGACCGCATGCCCTCTCAAAGCGCTTTACAGATATATAATATTACCCCGGTCATCGGATTCAGGCTTACCTGCATACAACGTATGCACATTCTCCACTCCCTAGGGAGCATTCCAGCCAGGCGTCATTTTTCCAAGTGCACACTTTCTAATCTAAGCACATTTGGTTTTCGCATCCTACCGGGTAGATCAAATGGCAAATGTAGGCCAATGTCTTGCCAAAGGACATTAGTGCCGCGGCGGAACTTGAACCGCGGACCTTGTGATTCACAGTCCGGTGACAAATCCACTCAACCACCACACCCCTACGTACAACAGTTACCAAAGAGCACAGAGACATTGTGAATTTCAATTGTAAATGTTTACTTTGCAAACTGAAATATTGGAACAGTTATATATGTACAATTATTGCACCTACTGGAGAAACAACATGTGATACGATTATAGTTAATTTGACATTGAATAAATATAGGGGAAGGTATTTAGATAAATAGCTTTTGTGATGGAAGTAAATGACTTTAAAGGTAATACAAAGTTTTGGTATGGGGTCATGAATTTGGTTCAAATGAACATGTTAAAAGCATACCGGTATGCGATCCTACAATATTCAGTGATCGTTGTCGCGGTTGAAATCAAGTCTAAAGTTATGAAATTGTAAATAATAAACTCTTTTATGTTGTATGGCTCTCTCTGAAGGTCAAGATATTAATTAAGCTACAAAAAAAATGTTTCTTGACTAAAATCGACCGATTAGCTACTCCTGTTTGGAAATTACATTGTATACATCACAACTACATGATATTCTGAGATTTTCATGGTCGCAGTTACCATTGTACGGCATAGGCCCTATTTGAAATTTATCAACAGGGGCATCCAAATATATCAACATTGTAAAGAATCTCTATCCACCCAATTTTCAAAATTTCCCAAAACTTTGTATTACGGTACCTGTAATGCATTTTTTCAGAATTTGCTTTTTCATTTCTTTTTTAAAATTCACCCTATTGTATTTTTCAGGAGGAACTGATGAACCAGACGGTGGGATCTCTGTGACTCCGCCCCCTAAACCACACCCCTCTTCCAGTGAAAACTGCCACGGAGGGTCCCTCTCTGAGAGTAGTCAGAGCCTTGGGCTTCTGGGGAATACCCAATTCCCTAGGAGGAAAAAGCATCCGAAGAGAAGACATCAGAAACAAGTTATGGGTAGGTCTTATTTTTCGATGGTCTGGACCATCTGGGGCCTGTTTCACAAAGCCTTTTTTCAATGACAAATGACAAAAACCAGTGACAAAACTGCTGATAATCAACCAGATGCAAGGATTTCAGTAGCTTAAAACAACAATTTTCATTTGTCACTGATGACAAGTTTTGTGAAACGCTCCCCTGGTGTCAGTTTTTTTTTTTTGGGGGGGGGGGGGAGGGGGGCAAGAGAAAGTGTTCATATTCTGGGGAATACACACTTCTCAAGTGATAGGTAGATCCTATTCAGTGTTGCCTAGCATTTAGTTTGATTTTGTTTTGCTTGTTTTTGTTGTTTCTGGGTGTGGTGGGGAAGGGGGGGGGGGGGTGGTTCTGTCATAGAGGTGAAGGGATAGTCATAGGGGTAGGATTATGGTTGCAATAGAGTTCATGGCTAAAAGTAGGTCTAGTGTTGGGTCCATGGTGTAAGATAATATTATTAGTGGAAGACAAGATAATGAAAATATTTCCTTCAGAAAGGTACGAGACCGTGCTTGCTTCAAAATAAATAGGAAAAAAAAAAAAAATCACATTTAGGGTAATCAAAATCAGAGATCAGCATTTTAGTATGTTTGATATCATTCCATACCAAATAGTGTGCATTCATGTGCTAATGCCCATTGTTTGCTAGACTGATATACACTTATATATTAATTTTTTACACATATGTACCATGAGCAGGCTTTAAGTTCTCAACGTTGATTAAGTAAACACTAGGCAACAAAAAAGATAAGATATCATATTTTCAAATACTTGGTAAACATTATATACTGGAGAGGACCCATTCTCTGTATTTGACTAGTGGTTCGATACAGGAAACAGTGCTTCCATGCAACAAAAGTTATTATTGAACATATTAACCTGGAGGAGGTAGTGTAGATCATTTTAGGGTCCTTATCAATATTTGTTCGGAAATGCAGGAAATTTGTGTGCATTTCTTATGGGAAAAGAATACAATGCATTTTCTCTTATCAGAATAAACATCTTTTAGCACCTATCTATCTGTGCTCATGAGATATTTGCCAGGGTTCTGTATTACTCATGTGTTTATGGACACATTTAAATGATATTGATAGGCCTGTCTTCATCAGCTAGAGATTGCCAAATAACCCGCTATTTCTGATTTTGGAAATAATCCTGAAGTTACAAATTGCGTCTTCATCAGCTCGAAACTTGAAGCTGTAGCTTGAGATATTTTGCTTAGCTTTCGCGCATAGTGCGAGTCTTCAGGCTGGTTAAGATGCACCGGACAAATAAGCAGGATATTTTGCAAACTAGCCCAAGATATCTTGGGATGATTAACTCGACCAAATATCCCGCTAATTGCAACTTCGGGCTGATGAAAACACAAATTAGCTTGATAATTTGCGATTGGGATAGTTGAAATAGCGGGATATTTATGGCAATCTCGAGCTGATAAAGACAGGCCTAATGACAAGCAGGGTGTCATGCTGCATGCAACCATCTTGGCAGAACTTTGGTCAACCTTGGTTTGCATTAAGGTCCATGTGGCAGCCTTTGGGGGTGGTCTTCGGAAGTTGAATACCCTGAAAGTAATTTACAAACCAAACAACAACAACAACAATATGAACATTGAGCATCAACAAAGAAGATTTATTGTGAGAGGCTTAAAAAAAGAAAAAGAAAAAAAAGAAGACAATAAGAACAATATATAGAAGCAACATGAAAAAACATGATGGTCATCCAATATCAGGTGTTTGGGGGGGGGGGGGGGGGGGGGGGGGGGTCACAAAACTTTTCATCAGTGACAAATGACAGTTTTTTTATAAGCTAGCATACCTGCCAACCCTTCCAAATATTCTGATTTTCTGGATTTTTAGGACCTGAAAATTCAGAATATTCTCATTTTTCACAATTATGATTTAAAAAAAAAAAATTAAAGGTGTTTTAGTTTAGTTTGTGTGTGCTAAAGCCAAATTAAGCTTGTTTTATCATGTGCCACGATTTGAGAGTTCATGTATTGCATTCGTTGAATGGCTGCATGATCGAGCAGCGTATTTTTATTCGCTTTTTGGTCCACATTTACCACGTAGTGCCAGCTACACCGCCGCTGCAAAGTGCGATTTCTTATTTTTGAAGGCATACCGTGCTGAAAACTCCTAATTCTTATTTTCAAATGTTGGCAGGTACATGTTTGAGCTAGTGAAATCCTTGCTTCTGATTGGTTATCAGCAGATTTGTCACTGATTTTTGTCATTTGTCATTGAAAACAGGCTTTGTGAAATGCCCCCATATGTCTCTACACTGAAACACTCCCAAGGTTGTGTTCACAAGAGCCTGTCCTTAGTCTGTTGTCATGCTTGATTAGAAATCATTCAAATTTCTTGAGCGGTTTGAGGTTCAATGAGGTCCATGTAATTTATACCCAATCAGTTCCCTAACCCAAAACCTAAACTGGAACCCAAATGCAATCATGTCCTGAAACCTAACCAAAAACTAAACTGCAACCATAACCCTAAACCTTTTTCAATACCCAATCACAATCTTAGTCTTAAACCCAAATTGAAGCCCAAGTACAACCATGTCCTAAAATCTAACCAAAAACTAAACTGCAAGCCAAACCCTAAACCTCATCCAATACCCAACCAGAACCCTAGCCCTAAACCTAACCTGTAGCCCAAACTCAAACATGTCCTGAAACCTAACCAAAAACTAAACTGCAACCATAACCCTAAATCTAAACTAAAAGCCAATTGCAACCCTTTATGTGTAGTGAAAGGAAACCTGAAGTAAATGTCGCTGGATCAAAATGTTGGATCACCGTGACAGGCATCAAGGTCATTAATCTAGGCCTCAAAAATAGTATCATAAAGTCAAACCCATATTACTTTTATGTAAACAGCATTTATTTCTCTAGATATGATAGATAATCATTTTTAAAGAGGTAGAATTTGAACTAATGTCTTGTTTGCTATCTGCTCCCCACAGGAAGCAATGTAATTTGATAGTCAATAATTGATAGCTTGATGTACTTAGACTTCTCACCCCATTGTACCATGTTTAATGATACTTCAGATGGGTTCTTATCTCCCAGCGCGGGAAAACTTGTTTATTGATCTCCCAGCGCGGGAAAACTTGTTTATTGACTTTGTGCAATCTGCAGGGGAAATTAAATGGAACCCAGAAATTTTCGATTATCCTGGATTTTATGGACTAGGTGTAACCATCTAGAAGCTAAATACTCTAGAATCCTCAGATTCTTTCAAAATTTCTTGGTGATGTTTTCAATATTCTCAAGCATAAGAAAATGGACTCGCACCAAGCTACAGATCGAATTATTTCTCTTACATCTTCTCGTAGTCTAAGATCATCACATCACGTTCTTCAGATCCTAAGAACAAGAGTCAAAAGGGCTTTCTCGGCCGCAGCCCCCTTTTGTTTTAAAGGAACAAAGCACCTTTGCAGAGAACTACTATATCATCAGAGATTATAAAACCTGAGTTGAAACCCTACCTTCTTTAGCAAGGCTACCCACAAGAATATGGCACTTTTTCTCATCAACTTTTGTGTGTGCCTCAGAATAGATTTTCTAGATACATGGTGCAATACAATTGCCTATCATTATTATTATCATCAAAACTCAACGACTGTGAAAGCGTCATATTCACATCAATTCCAGGGGAGAAAAATGCACAGGGGCTCTGGGCGTATTAGCCCCAGGACCGGCCCCCCCACTCCTTTTTATTTAGGGTACGCATATGCATGTTCCCTCCTTTTGAAACCCCCCCCCCCCGAAGTCCGATGTGTAAAGTAAATACGGGCCGGATTGTTGTGTACTACCAGCCGGACTTTGGTGCGTGAAAAGTACCTCTTTACTGGATATTTTGGGAACATGCTTGGTATCCCTCCATTCACGGAGTTGGGGGGGGGGGGGGGGAGCGGGCCCCAGGAATGCCAAAAAGAGCCCTCGAAAATCATAAAACACTGTTGTTAAACCGCTTCAAAGTTCACAGGCAGTCTAGGGCGGTTCAGTGACTAAAGGGTTAAAAAAAAGAACATTACAACTTTAATCAAGTGTAAATTACTCATCAAGTATAAGTTTGAATTGCAACATACATGGATGAATGAATGATACAAAAGATTAACTAGTTTTTGAACAAATGTGTGACTGTGAGCCCCACTTGTCAAATATTTGCTTGAAGCAATGTCAAGTTTAATTGTTTTATTACAACCGCACGAATGAAAAACATCCGGACTTGAGTGTTTGTTGTACGTGACTTTGGATACTTTAATCTTGTATGCATGAATTGGGGTGCGATTATTGCCCAGGGCAAGGAAATGAAATCATCTAGTGAAATATACATTAAGAGTCATGAGTTTATCAGGCGAAATATTTAGCAGATTTATACAACATACAATGTAGGTGCTCTTGTCAGTTTCTGTGATATGTAAAACTACATGTGGTTTGTGAATCTGTAAAGCATTATTCTATTGTGATTTTTGTCGTCTTTACCTTGTTTTTTGCACACTCTATGTGCTGTCATTTTCTGTAAATAGTCTGAATAAGGATAGAAGTAGTATGATCTTCTCATCTTTGGTAGGATGCGACCGTCATTGTTGGTCAAACAGTTTTTGAGCATCAAGTAATGCCAGGCTGGAATGCTCCCCAGGGAGTGGAGATTGTGCACCCAGTGTGTGCGGGCAAGTACTGAATCCGATGACCGGGGTAATAGCATATCTGTAAAGCGTTTAGACACACTGCAGGCAGGCTTTACTACTTCAGCTAGAAGGGATTAGACCACCCAGTGAGCCAGCGAGGTCACTGTGACAGGTGGCTATCTCATTAACTCAGCTCTCATTTAACATAAGAAAAAGAGGACCATGGGGGACCAACAGGCACCGATGGGGAAGTTTTCTATATAGAGGGAGCAAATAGCTACAAGTAGGACAGTGTGCCTTTAAGCGCTATATAAAAGCGGAATATTATTATATTTCAACTTGAATCTTTGAATTTGATCAAGCATGATCAAAATTGTAAACGTGCAGATTACTCATCAAGTTATATAGGTTGAATTGCAAAATACACATGCTCTGAGTTTGCTACTAAGACGAGTAAACAACTTTTCAACAAGTGAACCAGTTGTAGGAACAATTGCATGAGTCTTACTTCATTGTCAATATTTGCATTGGGTGATGGGAATTGTAAAGAAATTATATTGCTTTTATCAGTAAGGCAGGAAGAGAATACATCCAAAGAGGAGTCGAGTGTTTGACTTTTGTAATTTGTAATACTCTAATTTTGTGATTTATTATTTGATGAAAACTATGTACGATTATCTTCAGCAGAAGGGGGTGACATCGTCTATGTACATGTGTTACCAATAGAGCAAAATGTAGGAGGATTGGACTCATAGGGCAAAATATCTGAAAGTTTTGTAGAGCCAAACTTACAATACATTCCTATTTAAAGACAAAATCTCCCGAGCATGATTTTTTAACATCTTTTAAGCTTTGATAGAGCTCCATTGTTAAACAGTTAATTCATTTTATCACAGTAAGACATGTTTCAGATCCAGCAGATGTTCTTTAGCAGGTCTAGGAACTCAATTGTTTTACACAAATAAATGAAGCTATTTCTATTATTATTACTAATCCATCAATATCACTGGGGTTCTAGTACCAGAAATACAGTGTATAGCAGATTCAAAAAGAGCTCATGTGAAAAACAATTTATTTTTTCACTGATTAAAGACGAAGTTGAGTTCTGGTCATGTGATTGCATTGTCAAAGAAATGGTGTGGAACCGACCAGAAAAGGTTGATCATCTAGCATATAAGAATTTGTGTGTATTGCAAGGTTCTGGAATCCTCAAAATGATAAGAAATTTGGCCAAGTCTTGGTAAAGTTACAAACACTTGCACAGAAAGATGTATATGGGACTACACGAACACGTGGCGTAAAAAGCCGCCCCCCCCCCCCCGATTTTTACGATGTTACATGCATATTTAGAATATGAAGGCATTTGAAGAGCCATGCTTTTCAGGGAACATGTCTTAACTGATGTTCTTCCACACTTGCATAATAAGAATGAGTAATGCTCACAAATTACATTTTTCACCTCTTCCCAGAACTCAACCTTCTCTTTAAGTGCCATCAAATGCCAATGACTTGCAGAGTAACAGCTTCAATAGATTGCAACATACATACTGTCTGATGTGTAACAAGATACACAATAGTTGACGATCTGTTTTTATGAATTCCAATTGTCAAATATTTACCAAGAGTAGTCCAAATTGCAATGTTATCATATTGTTTTTATCAGTAAGGCAGGAAGGAAAAACATCCGGAGATGAGTCGAGTATTTGACTTGGGTGACCTAGGGACTTTAATCTTATGTTTATGAATTCATTTGGAAACGTCTGTAGGGTAAAATTTGGATGGATTCATATTTTTCTAAGACCAATGTAGCAACATGTAAAAGCAGTAGGTGCAATAGGCCTATAACTGAAAAAAACCTATATAAACTAGAATAACATTTGTCTCACATTTTTATTTGTGCACTGTTGAGAGATCATGATGAACAAGGAAATGAAGTGAAAACAAAAACAGATACAGTACAACAACATCAGCAACAAGACGAAAAGCAACAAGAAAACAAACAAACAAAAACAGATATTCAGTATACTTTCATTGATTTATAATGTCATATATTGACTAAAAAAAGCATTAGACATTCTTTCTGTCTTTTGGTATTGATTAAATTGTGCTCATTTTTGTCTGGAAACTTGGTTAATACATATATTTTACAATGATGGTACACTGAATGTGCATGTTTTCTGTAAAAGTTTGATATTATGTACATTTTATGTATAACACTTTCTGTGATGAAGGTGCTCCGATCATGTATTTTTGAACTGGTATTTTATTCAGTCGATTAATTCTTTTAAATAAATCTCTTACACAGACAGGAAATCTCGCTCTCGATCTGAGTCGTCCAGCCTGACCCTAGCCTCGAAGGCAAGTCAAAGGTCATCCTCCAAGAGGTCATCGCAGAAGTCATCACTAAAAAGGTCGTCAGGTCGAGGAGATGTGGCTGATGGACGGAGTCTGGAGGATCGGCCGTGGTACTGCGTATACTACGATGCCGGAGAAGACGTGAAGTCTCAGAGCAGTGAAATCTACAGTGTGCAGGTCAGTAGGGTCTAGAATACAAACCCTCACGCGATCTATCTAAACCTTTGAGTGACCGGTTTTACCATACTCGTTCTCCACAATAGACTGTAGTGTTATGAAAACCGTTTGGCAAACACAAAATTTGATTTCAATTTTCAATGATAAATTTCTTGATAATCAGACAGACGATCGGCTTGTAAAAGTCATGGGCTTCCTGAATGACCTAAAGGTTTCTTATTATCATTGCAGCATGAGCTAAATCGTCCTTGTTTTCACGAAGTGACGGTAGTGAGGAAAATCGTCACGCAAAGTGAATGCAATTTTTTTTCACTACCGTCACTTCGTGAAAACAGCGACGAAATGAAGGATTTTTTTTAAGGATCTAAGACAAAGTTACCGGATCCCTTTGAAGCCCCACTGCACTACTTATATTTATTTGCTCCCTCTATATAATGAACAATGCCTAATCGGTGCTTGTTGGTCCCCTATGCGCCCCTTTTTCTTATGTTAATTGAGAGCTGATTTGATGATATAACCACCCTTCAGTGACCTTGCAGGGAGGTCTAATCCCCTGGCCAAACTAGTGCACACAGGCTTTAATACTTGCTTCTTGTTTCTCTCTCTCTCTCTCTCTGTGCATGATATGCACACAATCTCCACTCTCTGGGGCAATTTCACACTCTTTCATTCCTACTTGCTCCTTAATAATATACCTTACCTATATAGCGCATATTTACAACATGTCTCTATGCGCTGTAAGAAAGAGCAAGAAGGAAAGGTGGATAGAGTAACATAAGAAGAGTGAAATATGCTCAACTTCCTCTTGTTAACTCTCTCTTTCTCTCTCTCTGTTTGCAGGGTAAGGAGACGGCCGTTGTGACGGATACCTCTGATGATCTCTGGTTCATGGATGATGAGCGCTTCTCTGTAGAGTACGAGGTGGAGGATTCCGAGTCAGAACTAGAAAGCAATGACGCATTGTCAGACTCCACCACAACAGAGGCTGAGGTACGCATTTCAACTCTCCTGGGGGGCGTTTCACAAAACTTGTTATCAGTGACAAATGACAGTTTTTGTTATAAGCTACTGAAATCTTTGCTTCTGATTGGTTATCAGCAGATTCGTCACTGATTTTTGTCATTTGTCATTGAAAAAAGGCTTAGAGAAATCCCCCCCCCCCCCCAGTTTTAAACATTCATGTGCTAGGATATTTACTCAGAAGTGGTCTAGATTCATGCAAGTTTTATGATGCAAAAGTGAAGAATCACAACATTCTCATTTTTCAGTGAAGATGGTTGTTACTAACGATTTGCAAAAGTCGTGAAAGTCGTGCTTACTAAAATTTTCTGGATTTTAGCACCCTTAACATGTTTTGCCAGCTTTTTTTTTCTTCCTCTGACTATCAGCATCACATACACCTACAAGTGCGAAGTACACTGCCTTGTATTGTCACAAGTAGGGGACACACTTCACACATTAGAAACATAGAGAGTGCAAGTCTCAAAACCAAACAATATCTGTTCATACATGCTGAACATAGGTCATCAAATCAAATTCCCTTTGAAAACCAGAAAGGTATCAAAATAGAATGGCAATCGGAGACTAATCTTGTTATGTAATCAGGTGCTGATGGTAGGTGTAGTATTTAAAGCCCCACTGCACTACGTATAGCTACTTGCGCCTTCTACATGTATATAGCAAAAAATACCTTATCGGTGCCTGTTGGTCCCCATGATCCTCTTTTTCTTATGTTGATTGAGAGCTGATATGATGAGATAGCCACCTGTCAGTGACCTTGCAGGGAGGTCTAATCCCCCTGGCCAAACTAGTGCAGACGGGCTAAAATACCTGAATACCCGTCTTCCATTTGTACTAATTGACACACGTGTCATATTTTTCTGCTAGATCTTCGTAGAGGTTGATGACCTGGGTAGTTCTAGTGATTCAAGGTTTGCAGATGAGGATACCACAGACTCTGAAATACCTGAAGAGGTGAGTAGTAGACCAAGATTTGGTCAATCTCTGCTTTAAAGGGGTCAGTGACACAAAGACGTAACTCCATTTTGAGAGAAAGTGGTTTATGTGTCACTGAGCACTTGGGCCTTAAGGAGTTAAGTCACTAGCTATTCACTTCAATGGGGTGTTGGGTGGAGTTAAGTATTTGCATTTCCTTGAAAGCCCACATTTTTCTAAACATTTTAATATCAAATACTCATTTTGGCAAAATATGGAGTTCCGTCTTTGTGTCACTGAACCCTTGATTTGTTGTGCAATTTAGCCTGCAGACAGTTTGGATTTTTATGCTTCTTACTACATGTTAGGACATGTAGTAACTAGGAAAGTGTATATTGGTTACCTGTAAAAGCAAGAATTGTTTATAAAGTTCTTATGTTGTGTCACAAGGTAATGATTCTTGAAATTATTCGTTCTTACGTACCCTGTAGAAATCTTCGCTCCTCAAAAAAAAAATTCCTGACTGTCCCTACCACATCAACCGAAACGTATGGTTCACGTGCCTTTTCAACGGCAGCCCCTGTCTTGTGGAACCAACTTCCTGACCAGCTTTGAGTTGTTGGGAGCACTGACGGCTTTGGGAGATCCCTGAAAACTTGTCTGTTTTTCGAGGGTCTTCTAGAGCTGCTTTGTCTGTTGCTGGTTGGGAGGTTGATTCAACATAACGGGTGTCTGTTTGTTAAATTTGTTATATGTAATGTCAAATAGTGTTACTTAGGTGTAATTATAGGTGCATTGGTTAACTTTCCCATAAATATTTTTTGTCATTTGCTTATCTACTTTGTTATTTATTGTTGTATTAATGTTGTTTATATATTCAAATTTGTCATGATTGTAAAGCGCATAGAGAAATTTTCAATTATGCGCTTCATAAATATTCTATATTATTATTATTATATTCATCTTCTTCTATTTTGCAAGCTTTACAATATGTGGGATAATACCTTAGATGAGTGGTGGAACCCTGTTGAAATCAGCCATTTCTGTTACAGTGTCCCACCCCATCAAAGGAAAGATAAATGAATAATTGGAGCAGTAATGACTCAGTGGCTCAGCTACAAACCAGTCGCTTGATGTGCTCATTTCTAAATTACATGTGTGTATTAGGGGCAGTCAACTGTGGCCTGACTGTTCGTGTTGGGTGCTATTGGCATTCATCCAATCTGTCGGACTGATTATTAGTGAAATTCTCTGTAGCTTGGAATAATGATTTTCTTGTATGCTGCATTTCACATTATGATATAATGTCTCCATGGGCTTCCAAAAGACCTTGGGTGTTATCATCCTGGCTTCGTTTGAGGGAACGCACAGACCAAAATTCTCTGGAGCTAAGAAAATGATTTAGTTTTCACATTTTATAATGCAATCAGTTCTGTGGACATTGAGTGATATTCTTACAACATTAGCAGGCCTGCCAATCAGCACGATTTGATCATATTTCGTACATTTTTTCTCAATAAAATATGATTCCCCCTCCCCCCTCAAAAAAACAACAACACATTTTCAATGATAAAAGGCCCGTTCTGTCCTGTAAAGTATCGTACGATCATCTCACATGGGTAATTTGGGGATGTTTATTGGTTCATCGAACACACCAGTCATGACAAAATCATGCATATTCAACCAATGATCCATGCAAAAATTTCTTCCTATATGTAGGAACTGTAAGAGGCATTGATCCGTGTCTGTAACAAAAACACTGTTTTTTTCAGTAAAATACAACTTTTGAGACTAAAGAATGAACTCTAGAGGTTGGCAGGTCTGCATTAGCTAAGGGTTGAAGTTTGAAGTATATACAAGTAGTTTTCTGTCCAGGCTTTGATTTTGAAATGTACCATGTTTACCTCTGATTTGAAAGGATAAATGGAAGTGTGCTGAGTGCAGCCAAGTAAACAACCCCATGCATGGCTACTGTTCTTTCTGCTGGGCTAGGCGGTCTGGCTGGCTTGCCGATGAAGACAGGAAGAATCCTACCGAGAGGTTAGGTGACAAGCATGTACTCAGAAGAGCCTTCTCAGCACCTGGTAAGACCCGTTTCACAAACCCTTTTTCAATGACAAATAACTAAAATCAGTGACAAATCTGTTGATAACCAATCAGAAGCTAGGATTTCAGTAGCTTATAACAGAAACTGTCATTTGTCACTGATGACAAGTTTTGTGAAACGCCCCCCCCAACAGTTACTTGTCATATTTCGAATATGAGGGCATTTGAATAGTCATTTTTTTTAGGTGTCCTTTTTATGCCTCCGCCACCGAAGGTGGTGCCGGAGGCATCATGTTTTCGGGTTGTCCGTCCGTACGTCCGTACGTCCGTACGTCCGTCCCGTTTGACCGTTATCACAATATCTCAAGAACCATTTAAGATTTAAACTTAAGACTCGGGAATAGTATTTATCACCATAGGAAGATGATCTGATTAGATTTTGGAGTACGTAGGTCAAAGGTCACAGGTCACAGAGGTCAACTTATGAAATTCCTTGTATTGAGTTTGTTAGCGCGATATCTCAAGAACCATTTGAGATTTAAACTTCAAACTTAAGGATAGTATGTATCACCATAGGAAGACGATCTGATTAGATTTTGGAGCACGTATGTCAAAGGTCAAGGGTCACAGAGGTCAACTTATGAAATTCCATACATTGTGATTGTTATCATGATAGCTCAAGAACCACTGGAGATTTAAACTTCAAACTTAGTGATAGTGTGTATCACTATAGGAAAACAATCTGATTACATTTTGGAGCACGTAGGTCAAAGGTCAAGGGTCATAGAGGTCAACTTATGAAATTCCATACATTGAGATTGTTATCATGATATCTCAAGAACCACTGGAGATGTAAAAACTTCAAACTTAAGGATAGTATGTATCACCATAGGAAGACGATCTGAATAGATTTTGGAGCACATAGGTCAAAGGTCAAGGGTCACAGAGGTCAACTTATGAAATTCCATACATTGAGATTGTTATCATGATATCTCAAGAACCACTGGAGATTTAAACTCCAAACTTGTTTAAATTGCTCTATGGCGGAGGCATCATTTTCGACTGCGCGCAGTCAAAATTCCATCTAGTTTTCTTCTATGATACTCTTCCACACTAATATAAAGAGAATGAAAATGTCCATAAATTATGTTTTACCTTTCCCAATACTCAACCTTTTCTTCATAATAAAATAATTTCATTTACATCTCTTTCCAGCTGGATGTCATCTTGACACCATCAATCAAGCCAGCATCCCAGGTGTGGTTTCATCTCCAGCAGACCATGCACCCTGTGCAAGCGACGAAGCCGGTACAGGACATCAAACGGCAAGACCGCACCGCTTCTACTCCCCGCCCCAAGATTTTGCAGACGGGGGGAAGAGTGATGGTGAAGAGGACCAGCACCAGAGCAACGTCCAGGAGGAAAGGCACGTCTTCTGTCAGATATCCTCACCAGGGTTGACATCGTCCTTGAGACCTGTTCAAGGGATCTGGAGCCAGGATGTCAAGGTACCTACGACTTACCTTACCACAGTTCACGAGGCCTCTGAAGAAGCGATTCCTGCAGACCTTCATAGACACACTCCTGCAGCCTGTACTACCCTAATGGGGGGTGCGATCCAGGGGAACGAAGATCAGGGTGTCGGGAGTGATGTGTCCCAAAACACTCCAGGAGTTTCCGACACTGTGTCTCACCACTCTAGCGATAGCTCTGGGGATGTTGCAGGATGTACTCCAAGGAAGAGAAGAGCGTTACTGGTCACTAGGGAAGACTCTGGAGTATGCCTCAAGAGACAATCCTCTGGACACTCTGGAATGGATGAAGCTCGACCAGTTATCAAGGGTATTGTTCCAGTGACCAATTATCTGGTCCAGGCAACACCAACTATCACACCAACAGGTCAGTATGACTACAAGTTAATAACCATTGTCATTTGCATTAACCCTTACTGTCCTGGGGGGGGGGGGGCCTGGGAGGCCCCCCCCTCGACATTTTCGGAGATTGCGCCGCAACCGCTTGGAATTTTGAATTGTCGTTTCATGACTATTTTCCCTCAAGTCTTACGCACATTTTGATACCATTTTCGTCGAAATCGGATATACCTGTAAGGCGTTACATAACAATTAGTATGCGCATGTCATAAAAAAAAACCCCCAAAAATGAAAATCGCATCAAATTTGCATAAATTATCATTATTAATTACATTAAAATAACTTTTTTGTGTTAGAAAAGAAGTTTCATATGAATAATGAGTTTCAACATTCAAAAAGTGGAGTTTGACACGTTTTCGGTAAAATGCATAAAATTAGCGCATTTTGCATAATTAATTAGGCTAACGACAAAAATTTGCATGTTCGGGAAAAACTAATTATACCATCTTGTTCCTTACGTAAATATCTACAAACATGCAAATTTTCGTGTTCATCGGACAATCGACGGCCGAGATCATAGGGGGGGGGGCCTCCCAGGCCCCCCCCCCCAGTCAGTGGGTGCTCAAAATAGCCCAGTACAGTAAGGGTTAAGGACAACCACTCTTTAATTCTTTTCATTTTAATACATGTCTACTAATTCTTATCCTGTTTTGGATTCATCTGGAAATAAATAAACTTCTAAATTGTGTGCACTTATATTTCTAGTAGCAGTGTTTCAATGAGAACAGCATTATGTGTACTATTTAAATGGATATAATCTAAATTTTTCAATTATCATTGAATAATGGTAAACGCTTCTTGATAGCTGGATTTCAAATGAATAGGTACCCTAATTTCATTGTTAAAAGGCCATCAGGGCAGATAATTGAATATTGATGTTACACCGTTGAGATTTAACAGTCATCATTTATTAGATCTTCTTTTACTTCCTTTTGTAGGCTGTGGACATGAGAAGATGATTTCACAGGTACCATGTCAAACAAGTTCCAGTGGCAGTTCATCTTTGGCAGGGGCACCAATGGCCACCCACAGTGTGTGTAGGACCCCAGTTATGTCACTGCTTACTGAAAAGACACTAGTTGGTCCTCACCAAAGCACGTCTCTGTCATCGGCCCTACACCAAAGCACGACCCTGTCATCACCCCTACACCAAAGCACGTCTCTGTCATTGCCCCTACACCAAAGCACGTCTCTGTCATCACCCCTACACCAAAGCACGTCGCTGTCATCACCCCTACACCAAAGCACGTCTCTGTCATTGCCCCTACACCAAAGCACGTCTCTGTCATCGCCCCTACCCCAAGCTCTTAGAACCAAGTCCAACATCTCTCCTCTGGACGGGATCGGTAGCGGGTCCTCCATGGGCAGTGGGGCAGTTGCCAGCCACGCCCAAGAGCTGTGCCGGTTCTGCTGTGTGCGACCCAAGACGGCTTGCATCATTCATGGACGCACTGGACACCAGGTCTGCTGCTACAAGTGCGCCAAGAAGCTAAGGCGACGAGGTAAACCCTGCCCTGTGTGTCGACGCCCCATTCAGCACATCGTCAAGAATTTTTATGCGTGACAGAGATCATTGTTGTATCCTATGTAAAGGCGTACATGGAAAGTGCACAACTTATTCAATATATCTAGCTTTATTATATGTCTTTTCATGTGTATTAGGATCGACTGCTTCGTAGCAAACCAAAAACGCTTTAAAAAGCAATCCCTTAGTTCCGTTGACTGGCGTTTAATCAACTCCCTGTTGATATTGCTGAAGAAGTGACTTTTTTTAAATGTCCACATAACTTATGGGTTGGTCTCTAAAATTGCATGAGAAAAGAATAGTATAGGATTATTTATTCTTATCCTAATGGAGTATTAAAATCTTTATTCTCATTGCTTTGAGAAATATACAGTATACCCATTGATCAATATTCAAATGAAATGTACTGCATGTGGCAATGATGTGGTTTGGGCTCTGAAATGCAGTATACATATGGCAACGTAAGCAAAGCCTGCAGAATGCAGTGGAGATCCCATCAAGTGGTTGGCTAGAACTGTGGTTGATACAGAACTTGGTTTCAACTTGAACAGTGGGTTTAGATGTTGTTTCTTTTTACAAATAATAATAGTTGTGATAATCTGGATATAAATAGTGCTTAATACAGCAACAATTTCTCAAACAAACATTTTACAATCCAACCCACAAGTCCCACATCTTCTCTAAAATTAAAATATTTGCTAATTTTGTGAGTGGTCCAGAGTCATGAAGATTGCAGGTCGTGAATAGTTGAATTGTGGCCCTAATGTTGCGCAGTACACACAATCCTTCTTTCTGTGACAGTTGTTGGTTGTGCACAAGGTCTAAATATTTGGCTGCATCTATATTTTTCGAAGTCAGAATCAGGAACAGCAAACACTTATCACATATATATGTGTAAAGAACCACATTACCCTGTTGCACATGAGGTTAAGCTTTGGAAAAATTCTTTGTAAAATACATTTGTTTATCTTTTGGGCCACAATGAATACTCATATTCTGCATAATATAGACATAATAATAATTTCTATGTTGTATTCAGGTGCTAGAAATTGTGTACATGTCTTATTTTAAATGTTTGAAAGTTGTGTCAGGTGTTTCAAGTTGTAAGAAGAGTTAGTCATTTTTGGAATTGTACAATTGAATCAAGAATTCAAGATGACTATATTTCTGTGTGTGATGTAGGAATGTGAACGTGCAAGTCAGTGAGGAAGAATTATCTTTGGAGAAAGTTTTTAGTCAATGTACTGGTATGTTGAAATATATTGAATTGCCAATAATCAAGAACCTTTGTGAAGGTTCTAGATGATGAATTATTTATTTACAAGTGTGATTTACTTTGAAATACTTCACTTTAGTAATAGAAATATTTATTTCAAGTTTGTTATTTCTGATTTGCTTGCTTTCTTTATGAGTTTTGATATTCATATCAAAACAGCAATGGTCTGTTGACAAAAGACAGAAGAGTATAACAAATGGTATACTTGAACCAGGTGGGTTCTGTATAGTAAAAGTGATAATAGGTAGGTCCCCTTATATAGTGCAGCTACTATATGAATATACTCTTCTGCATTTGATAATGACATGGTATTACCCCGGCTGTAGCTGAGTCGCCGTGCATTTGCAGAATGTCTCCCTACTGGGTACCCATTTGATTTACTTAACCTGGGGGACGTTTTACAAAACTTGTCATCAGTGACAAATGACAGTTTTTGTTATAAGCTACTGAAATCCTTGCTTCTGATTGGTTATCAGCAGATTTGTCACTGATTTTTGTCATTTGTCATTGAAAAAAGGCTTTGTGAAATGGGCACCTGGTTGGAGAGTGCCAAAGGACATTGGTTTCATGGCGTGACTCGACTGTGAATCTTGTCATGTGATCCACAGTCTAGTGACGTATCCACTAGAGCACGACACCTCTATAAAGTCTTAAGGAATGTGAAAATTTAGTTTTCATTGGATTATGGCTGTGGCTCTCTTGATAAATGGGGAATAGGTATTTGTACGTGTTTGGTTTACAACAATTTTATCAGAATGTTCTTGCTTTCTGCTCAAGTTTGCATTTTTCTAGCCATTTAGACTCGCTTGTTTCCAATAGACAATTTTTTTTCTTCCTTTAAAAAAAAAAAAAAAAAAAAAATGTTTTCAAATTCAAAAAACCCATTGCCTATTGAAATCAGGTGGCTCCTTTAAGAAAGCATATGGTAATGAATTAACTCTTTAGCCAATAGGTTATCTCAAATTTCTTTTGCTTTTTTTTTGCCTCACAGTTCTTTACAAAGCTCACACGGTAATGGCTTTGAAAATAAAAGGGAGTATGTAGCCCAGGAGACCTATCTCTGAAATGCACCATATCTTTTTCTCTGAAGTGCAATTTTGTTGTGCTGTAATATATTTTTTATACATCCCCCTTTCACTGACTTACATATAGGTCCCGAAGCATACCTTTCTTGGACAAAACAACATCTACCACAGTGATTCAGGTTTCAGGCAAAGGCGTGAATTCAGGCCCTAGCAATTTTTTTTTCGGCCATATTTTAAACTTTTGGTTTACAAAGTAGTCAATTCTTCAAGATTTTTGTGGTTCACTTATGAATTCTAACTTGTGACGCTGTATTAGAATTTGATATATCTTGTCTGTTAAGGTATATTTGCCAAGGTCGTCCCTAACTTTATATTAGCCATACACCAATGGGCCTAATTTGTTTTCATATCTCTCTATGGGTGTATTTATAACTCATATTCAAAAGCATAATACCATATATGTAGATACTTTACACACAACAAATAATGTTTTTGTTTGCACATTTAATGGAATGAATAGATCCACTCAGAATAAGTTTTGATTGCCTTTTTGCTCACTTGCTTAAGCTCTTTTGTAGATTGTGTCCTCTGTATTATGTACACTGTATTATATGTTTAGTTTATGTATTGTTTTTTTTGTAACGGTCAGTTTGATAATTGGCCTTGTAATGTTTGTAAGAAATGAGCAAGTTAAGTTTGGTTATAAGTTATAAGGCAAGGACATTTCCGTGTAGTATACAATTTCTGTATTTCGAAGGTGCCAACATTTATTAGTTATACACCAAACTTAGCTTGACATAAGGCATGTTCACATTTGATGCAGTAAACTGCAGCTTTGGGGGGAGGTTGTTTAAAAGAATGTAATCATAAATGTGGTTGACGTATTTTGTATCTTGAAAGAAACAGATAAGTGAGTATGCATAAGATCTTTGTTGTACACAGCTACTCTTTTTCATCTGTTCGAGTACACATTACGAATGAAACTGCAGCAGTTTCCTGTGCCATTTGTGAACAGGTCGTCACTGTATGGTAGCCACCATGTACATGTATATACACTATTTGCACATTATGTACAGGAAGATTAATATATTTCAGAGTGTATTATAGAGAGATGATAGAAGATTATATCATAATTAACATTATACTTACCGGTATACATAATTGTACAGGAGAATCACACAATAAAGGGTTTGAAGGTGTAACTTTCCAGTGTAAGGTATATTAGCCCTAATAATTTAAAGGTGAAAGCACATTTAATAAAACTTTGAAAAAAACAAAACATGATTGTTTGTGCAAACTGTGTAAGGGGATGGTGGGCGTTCTGCTTAACTAAAGATATCGCACAAGTTTTTGGCCGAACCATGCCAAACGTGGTATTTACATTTACTCAAAAGTTGAATTTGCATATTAAAGTTGAACCATTTTTTGTGGTCCCAATATATGCAGAGTTAACTGTTTAAACAAAAATAGCTGCCTGCTTTCTTGCACATTCCAGCCCAAAAGAAAAAAACTTCCTAGTGCCAGGCTTATTCAAAACATTTTATTTACCTTTATACATGAGATATAAACCTAAGGGCTGGTAGACTGGAATCTCATAATCCTTGTTCGGATAGATTTGCAAAATGTTTTCGGTAAGTATTGTTTTAAGAGGATTGTGTGCCTCTCGGAGTCTCCCAAAATATGAAATATTTTGGTAAAGATGCTTTAAAGGGTGCCTGTTTGTGTGATAATGTAACAACTCAATTTGTTATAATTAGAATTATTTATGATTTGTAGTGCAAGTTTTCAAATAGTGTTAAATGTATTTTATTACTTGAATATACATGTATAATATTTTTTGAAGTGAGTACAAACATGTGTATAAGAAAAATTATATTTAAACCTATGTAAATCTGCAAATTCCAAACACATAACATGCTCTAAAAGCTCTCAATATGTGGAGTAATATGAGGCTTGAAAGTCATTACCAGGGGTTATTGTTATTATTTTCCTTTTTTATTAGATGCCAAGGATATCAATATACTTGATGTTTGTGTGTATGACTATCTTACATGAAAGACTGCAAAGAACATTTTGACAAACTAAGTTCTTTGGGAAAAAAAAGATTTGCTAGACTCTTTGCAAAATTCAAAATGAATATTTTGTTTTCTTTATCCTGCATAGAGAACTCTGCATATGGCTTGTGGTCGCAAATTTCTTCCTCTCAGAGGACACTGAAAGTTTAGCAGATTGTATCCTACAAAGTGCAGTCAAATATTTATTCCAAACTTCTAAAAAACAAAACAATGTTTACAATGAAATGAAGAAAAGAAGTTACCATGTAGCTCATAAAGTTGTCTTGCATAGCGTGGTTCTGATATCATAATGGTTATGAGTATACCTTTAAACTATTCCTGTTTTGAAAATTGCCTCCATTTTCCTTTTTTTCTTCTTCTCACTTCTAAGATCAAATTATTGACAAGGATGTAGTGCACAATACCTAGATTGTGTAAAGACATTTCTGTTAACGTCTGTTCAGAGCAAGAAGGTCAATAACTTTGTTTTAAATAGAAGAATTATTGACCTTCTGGCTCCAAACAGGGGGCGTTTCACAAAACTTGTCATCAGCGACAAAGACAGTTTTTGTTATAAGCTACTGAAATCCTTGCTTCTGATTGGTTATTAACAGATTTGTCACTGATTTTTGTCATTTGTCATTGAAAATAGGCTTTGTGAAACGGGTCCCAGATGATATATTTAAATGTGATGTTAAGTCTTGTCAATATGATAAGATCTGTTCAAAGCCATGGGCAGCTGTTGTTTAAAAAAAAATGCCTTAAAAAAGCAGCAAATGCTTTGCAGAGCAAATTAATTGCAAAATAATGCAAAGCTTCCAATTATATATGATATTCATAGTTGTCAACATTTAAGTATCTACATGTATTAGATAGATTTGAATTTTGATAGACGGATATCGGTAGTAGAATCAAGTATAAAACGAGACAGGACACTTACACAAACTAGCTTAACACACAAGGTTAAAATAGTCTGAATTAATGTTTTATGTCAGAGAGTAAAATGATGGTATAAACAGGATGTTTTAGAGAGTAATACAATTTACTGCCTTGAAATAATTTTATGACTCACGAGAAAATAACTATTCAGGATGAAGAGCAAAGTCATGAGTGCTACACCAATATATGAGAAAGCTGACAATATAACTTTCAGATTTAGTATTTCTATCCAATTTTGAAATCTCAAAGTCATTGAAGTACATGTATTTTGTCATCTTATTTTGTAGAAAAGTTTAGTGAACATGCAACACACTTCAAAAGTAATAAGGTAGAGAAAAATGATGTATTATGTACGTTTCAAGCGGTCCAGCTTTTCTGGGTGTCATGAAAATGGAGGGAAATTGTTGTCTTTCTGTAGTTATTGAAGTCATTTCAGTATGTCTATGTTGTGCATTGCATTCAAAGTGGTAGAATAAGATAGAGGGGAGAAATAAAAGTGAACAGATTTATTTATTTGAAAAAACCGTGCATGGAATGGTTTTCTTTTGATT